GCCACTATTCTAATTATCACAGATTCCGTGAATCAAACACAGCTCCATCCTCACGTCAACCTCGATAAGGGCCTTATGGTATCCTGTGACACTGCGCTAATTGCAGCTCACCAGGGGAACGGGGAGTAATTAACTTTTATGCTTTACAGGCGGTCGGATACGAGGGCACTGATTCTGGCAGTGACCAGGCATGCCAGCATCGGCTTGCTCGAGCGACTGCAAAGTGGTCAGTGGTGCCTCGGCCAATCCCCTTGCAGATGCACAAACTCCTCAGAACTCTCCTGGCCAGTCGCTCACGCCAACCGCAACTGGACACCAATTACAGGTTGCACACCTTCAACCAACTGGTCAGACAGCAAATGCTGGCACAACATTCCGTGGAGACCAGGCAAGGCCCGATCCAACGACTGCTGCACTTTGGCGAAGAGGATGGCCGGGTCGCATCCAGTTACATCTTGGCCGTCTTGAACCGAGTCGTAGTTTCCCGGCGGTCGGCCGGTGTGCCGAACTCCGCTGCAATACCTTCCATTACGGCGACCCATCCACCTTTTAAGGGCCCGTTCTGACCGCGTCCGGGAACGCCTTGAGGAGGGCCTTCAGCGCCTCCAACTTACCCCGGTTGGCCTCCAGTCCAGTCGTCCCCTCCAAGAATGCCGGCACATCACAATTCTAAAAAGGTTTTGGCCAAGTGATCTCAATCCGTATTCTTGTGATGACGCCAAATATAAGAGGAAAGCCCTGCTACGTGAAGTTGTTTAATACCGAACACCAGCTTACAAGTTACAAACTGTCGGATAGGAAAATAAACTTTTCATGTTTTTTTAAAAATCGATCGTTCTCACGCGTGTTCTTGAACTGTCCTGGGTATTCACTGACTATCAGGCAGTTGTATACGAATGCTTCAAAGAGTTCCACAAATCCCGTAATAAACCCCACATTCCATTATAGGCAAAGCGGAGTTACGAGAGAACCACCCGCTGCTCACACGCCTCATCATTGGTATCTGCGTTACATCGGCATACATCGGCGTTGGGAGATTTGACGGGCTAACCCCAAACTAATACCCATAATCATCATCATCATCATCATCGACAGCATGACATCGGTGTTTAACACCGATGCTTCACTGCCGTACAACCATGACTTATTTGAAAGCCTTATTGTAAAGAAAAGAATAAAGGTAAATGGAAGAGTGACTCATTGCTGGCTTAACACAATCATTCCGAGGTGCCTACACCTCCAGACATTCACTCAGGCAATCTGGACAGAAACTGA